GGACCACAGTAAAGTCTAAATCACAATCAGCTACACAAGGGCCAGCAAGCTCACCCAAAGAGAGACCTCGAAGCTCAGTTGATCTTAGGCAACGCCCCTCTTCCCCAGTAAGGAAACCCTGCAAAGAAAAGGTTTTATCACCTGGGAGCTCAAGTTCTGCAACTTCCTCAGCAAGCTCACCATCTGTTGCAGCTAAGAATTCAAGGCCACCCAAGTATAAGAACAACTCTAGAACATATAGTGAATCTTCCACCTCAGAATCTGATACAGCCTACCACACCGAGGGGAGCACTGTCAGATTTGCCTCCAGTCATATTTCAACCATGTCTTCCTCTTTCACTTCCTCCATTGGCAGCGATCCATTCTCTTCTCAGGGCCAGCAGCTTTCTGGCACCCAGCCTGCTGTTATTAGAAGGCGAACGGATCCAAAAAAGGACCTCAAGGCTAAAGATAGCAAACTTTTGATCAGCAGTCAAACTACAAATACCCCAGCTCAGTCTCCAAGCGCCTGCACTCCTCCAACTTCCCCACGAAACAACGAGCGGAGGAACAGTATTAAGGATTTGAGACAAGTGTTTGAAAGATGTGAAAATGAAAACTCTTTGGTGACTCCTGATATTGAACAGTTGTCTTCAGAAACCACCAGCCCCTCATCCTTGTCATCATCTTTCCCTTCCACACACCAGATGCCGATCCCTCGGGCGCGGGTTAGGTCCACATCCCCACAGCCAGAGGAACACAGGAGAGAACGTGTGAACATTATGAGGCTAAGCCTAGAAATACCGCTCTCGTCAGTTGGTCCTTTAACTCATGGGGCCGATTTGAAAAGCCAACCTTTAAGGCTTGGGCCTAAACCATTTTATGGCACACAGAAATGATGTAAGTCTACAACAGACTCTTAACTAAACGCACCATGACAGTGTTCTGCCTTGAGTTAACCCTAGCAAACACAGACTTAATTCTGCACATTATCTGCTCAGAGAATCTAGTCTTCTTTCAAATGGCTTTCACATAAATACGAAATAATTTAATGTACTATATTTATAATTGTCTATTCCTTGTATTTATTTACCTGCACACAAGTGGAAGTGAAAGGGAAACAAATGTGCAATGGAAATATTCTAGTTATCACCCTTTTTCTAAAAAAAAACACAATTAGCCAATGTTTGTGACCAAATTATGCCACAAAAGAAATAATAGATGCATTTTTATTTTTTTTATTTTTTTTTATGGAACTATTGTATTGTACAATATTTTTTTTGTTGTTGTTATTTTTTCCTATTTTAACATCCAGAAATGTTTTGGGGCATTTAAGTAAATTATAAAATTACATTTTTTAAACAATTTGGACTCATGGTCAAAGTCATGACTTGGACAAGTATCATTTGAGTTCAAGTTAATAAGCAAAATACATTTCTCCTTCTTTATTGAACGACTGGATTCGATGGGTATATGCTTGATTTTGACCTATTTAATGATTGAGTTAAAAAAAAATTTAATAAGTTAAAATACATTAATGATATTTTTTTTAAATAGTTGATTAGACTGGTACTTAAATGATATCAATAATTTTGTTTTACATAATATTGCCTGTTAAGAAAGATGAAGCTTTTTATGTTGGTATAGATTTGCCTGTGTGAATTTACAAAATATGCTTCAGTCAGAATGGTGAAATTTTAAGTGGAAGTGTACAGAACAAATAATCGTGTACATATCTATTTATGTACATATTTGCACAATTAGTGTGTGTGAACATCTAATAATATTCAAACAAAAATACTTTTTTTTCTTTGTTAAATCCTGAGTGAGCTTATACATAATCCTGTGTACATACTAGATCATGTAGCTGTGGACATAGCAGGTTTTTGTTTTCATTCTACTTGTGCGTGTACATTTGGATGTAGTGGGACATGTATAATAAATGAATAGAATAAATGAATATTCATCAAGTGCTATCACAACCTGAGAATCAAAGGGGCATCTCTTAAACACTTAATTCAGTTGTTTTTTTTTTCCTTATCATGTGCAATTCTATTTTGTTTTTACCATTTACAGACTGACTAGTAGAAAGGGTTTATCACAAAACCTGTCTGCTGTAAATGAAACAAAACTTTATATAATATATCATATTTATAGTGTGTTGATGTCCAATGAAATCCCCACATTTTCTTTTTCTGAACTATCCATCTTCCACTGTTTTTATAACAAACACAGGATGTTGAGTTCAGGTCTTCTTGAATCTATGTTTATGTTTAGTTTTAATTCTTTTTTTTTTTTTTTTCAACAAAATTGTTGTAGCAGCACATAATGGCTAGTGCAATTCCAGCTGTAATCACCTGTTTAGTTGACTCTGGGACAATGAGTATCATGTTTGACTATTATGCCAGTTTCTCTTTGTTTTTCCACTGCCACTTGGTTTCATTTGCCTCACTTTTTAGTTGCTGTTGTACTGGAATCTGTAGAGTGCAGTCAAGTTGTCTATAGTTTATATTATGGACTCAGTATTTTCACATGTTTAATGTACATGTTTCTATTAATTAATTTTAGCTGTAAGTAAAATTCACTTCCCAATTTGTGAATCATCATCTTTGTTTATCTTTTGCCATAATTTGTTGTTGTTTTTTGAAGACATTAGTTTGATCTGAATCGCTTATATATGTCAGTGATCACATTACCTTGCAAGTCACATTTGTTGGTAAGAGGGGGCTGATGTTTATAGTACTTAGTTGAGACTATGATAGAAGGTGTGAAAATACTGGTGTGCTTTTTATTTTTCATCCAGATAATAAAAGGTAAATACTTTGGATGCTATCCCAGCACACCTTCATCAAGATTTGAAGCTAGAGAATCTCTCATTCTAAGCAATCAGAACAACAAATCTAAACTTAAGTTTCTTAGAAATCCAAACCTCCTTTTTTAGGGGAAAAAAACTGTTGTTAGTAAACTTGACTATTAATGGGGAACAGAATTGTTTTAGGTCCAGCAGGTTCTAGCACATAAATCATTATGAAAAGACCTTGATAAAGAATTCTTTTCTAGAAATAGAATCCTGTACTAGAAACTATTATTTATTTGTTATAATTGCTTTTGCATAGCAAATCTTTTATGCTCTGGAGACGTATGGGATGTTTCCATTCTGCCTATAGGCACTCAACAAACACAAGTCAGTATTTGAACTTGAGCCCTCTTGATAGGTGGCCAGGCCATTTATGCAACTCAGCCCCACATATTTAAAAATATATTTATAAAAGTTGCACTTGGCAATGATTTGTGTGTCCATTTTATTTGATGAGAAATAGCAGTTTTGCTGATCAGCCCTGCGTTGTTATGTAATGATCTAATTTGGATTTATCATAGATGCCATTATTTATATTTAAACTGTTGACATTTTTATAACTTTTTTATTTAGTCTTTTGATGTGTTGTAGATGTAAAATTCAATCTTATTTTTAAATATCAAACCATTGTCTGTATTGTCTGTGACTTGGTTTGCATAATAACCATGCATATGCATAAAGTAAATGCAGTCCATAAACATATTTAGGTCAGCAGTGACCAAGAGAAGGGTAGTCTAGTCACAAAACCATGCATAAACCTTCCTTCTAGCAACTCACTCTGAGAGGAATGGGCGATATTCTAGGTACAGGGACTTAATGCGCAAACGTAATACTAGAGCAGCAGTTTAGAAGGGGATAAGGACTATAGATGTAATATGTCTGAAGCCACATCGCTGATGTTAACAAGATAAGTATAATGTGAAGCCTTAGAAGGAAAGAAATGCCATAATAAAGGGTTTAATAATTGACTTCCCATCCACTATTCATTAAAGTCTATCACTGATGACATTTTATGAATTGAAAAGAACTCATTTGACCCTCACCTGGGAATATTTGACTTTATTTAACTCACTCCTATGTAATGTTGTTAGGTGAATAGTCACTATTGCTTCACTTTGGGGCAAGGTTTCTTGTAATAAGAAGTTGAGACTTTTCTTCATGTGTTGTGGTGACATAGAATCTCCATTATATCATGAAGGAAGTCTTCTAGATTCTTTGGTTCCATGCTACTCTGTAAAAGCAGTTGAAAGGATTTCTATGTCCAAGACATGATAATCTGTCATTCCATTCTCTTTATCTTTTTTTTTGTCCATGCAAAGTGTGACTTAGATTTTTTGATGAGCATGTCAGTTCTCCTTTTTTTTTTCCCTAAATGAATGTCCTTAGTGAATGACCACTGGTACATCTGTAACTACTATGAATTTTTCTGCTATTGGTAACAGACTTTTCATTCGCATAGCTGAACTAAATATAGATTAATTTATAACACCTAATGAGTGTTCGCCTTAACTAGCCTTAACTGGTGACAACAGAATATTTTATCGCTTAACTTTAGATGGTCACTGTGTCAGTGTGAACCATGAACTTCTTTCCCTTGGTGATAATAAAACATCTGATCACAGTTTGACTTTAGATGAAACTTTGCCAGGAAAAGCAATGAACTTAAACCATTTTTTTTCAGTTATAAAAAATCATCCTGTCACACAATTGTATAAAATATGAAGTAGTTTGACTGATGGTAGCTATGTAAAGAAGAAAGTCAGTTAAGCTTAATGCTGTGGATTTAAAGTATTGTACCAGAAAAATTAAGATTCTTGTTTGTGTATTGATTACATTGTGCTAAAATTTAATTAAGATAGTTATTTTAGCAACAAGGAGATTTGTTAATTAGAAGAGGAGAACTTTTTTATCACTCTAGCCATGAACTTGTTGGAAGGTCTTGACATTTAATGCAAATAGAATTTTAAATTATTTTCCTTTTTGGGTTGGCTTCTGTTCGTAGTTTTTAAAGCCTGTCACTAGTTTTTACTAGTTTTTAAAGCCTGTCACTAGTTTTTACTAGTTTTTAAAGCCTGTTACTAGTTTTTACTAGTTTATAAAGCCTGTCACTAGTTTTTAAAGCCTGTTACTAGTTTTTAAAGCCTGTCACTAGTTTTTACTAGTTTTTAAAGCCTGTTACTAGTTTTTACGATAAAATACTCTTGTACATGTGGTGAAAGTTGTCATGAAGGGTGGTGAAAGTGACATGTGTTACCTGTCCCCCAAATATCATTGTCACATGTCTCCTTAACTTATAACACACAAAACATTTTTTAAACAGACATAAAATAATTTGGCTTTGACTTGTACAATAAAATATATTGACTTTAATTTCTGATGTTCATCTTGAGAGTTGCTTTTCTATAGTAAATGTATTTGTATTTATGTGTGTATGTCTTCCTAAATACACTAAACCTATGTGGTAGGTTATAATGTTTTCCGAAAGCACAGAAGAGATGCTAATCCAAAGAAAAAGGGGGGATACATAATTTGTAAACACAATGTTTAAGGAGAGAGCTCTACAATTTGTTTTGGCTTCACACGTTTCTGACAAAAAATACTATAGGAGTCTCTTGAGCTCAGGGTTATGTCAGACATTGTTTCTCGTGGACTGACACTCACGTGGTTAAAATAATGTAAGGAATCAAAAGGAAAAACACATTACCTTTCTGTGGGAACTAGCTACCACAGATACAGCCATCCCCTCTTACTGGACTTCCCCATTGTAAGGGCCACACTAAACAAATACATCCATCACCTCTGAATTCACCCAGCTCTAATGGGTACCTGACATTAGCTAGGGAAAAGTAAAGGCGGTTGGTCGTTGTGCTGGCCACATGACACCCTCGTTAACCGTAGGCCACAAAATCAGATGGCGTTTACATCATCTGCCCTATAGACCACAAGGTCTGAAAGGGGAACTACCTCTAAATGGACTGCCCCATTTTAAGGACCATACACACAAAAAAACAACCATCACCTATAAATGGATGTACTGCCCCATTGTAAGAACCACAAAGGTCGTATGTAAAGAATTTTTTTAACCCCTCAATATTTTTTATTTGCTACTATTTTAGTACAGCTGAAGCCTGCATACCAAATTACTGGAAATCAATCGTAATATTACAAACAGCAATCACAGCTAAGAAGTGATCAAAGAGTTAGACAAACCACAATTTAAAAAAAAAAAAGAAACAGCTAAGTCAAAATTGAAATGTTTCCCATTTGCAAGCTGGGCAATAGAAGTTAATTTACTTTTTTTTTTTTTTTTTTTTTTTTTTTACAAATTGGCCATGAAGTCAATGTGCTTCTAAAAAATAGTCAGTTATAGAGATCGGGTCTCAAGGAAATCCTATGCCGAACTGGGAGTCAACCCCTTAGTAAGGTTGTGACAGAGCGTAGAAATGAGGTTTGCGGGACATGTTCTCCGACAAAATGAATTACATATAATAGGCTAAGAGTTGCGATGACATGGAGGTCATTACGAGAAAAGCGCAAACAGGGACATTCTAGTACTACTTCACTCCACACTTTAATGGAGGTCCTCACTCCTCAGAGCAGAGCGACTGGCACAAGAAAAACTGGTCGCCCCCACCTCCGTTACATAGATGTAATAAAACGTGACCTCAAATCAGTGAACACCAATACTGACAATTGGGAAGACATAGCTCTAGACCGCACCAGATGGAGAGAGACAGTGACTAAGAAAGCTATGGACAGTGAAAGTACATGGCTCTCAGCTCAGGAAGAAAAACGTACAATACGAAAAATGGTCAGCTCCTCTACCACCGAAACAAAAGCCACCTTAACCTGCGATATTTGTGGACGGGAGTGTCTCTCCAAAATAGGGCTTTACAGCCACATGAGGAAGTTTGCTCTGAGATGAACCATTGTCGTTCTACGACTGAAGGAGGCCAATTAGTTAGTTAAATTGCATTTGAATTAATTCACTAGTTTTCACTTTCTTCTTTGGCGCTTCTTTCAATGTCGTTTCAGTCAATTTCAGCATCTGCAGAATAAACGTTTTGAAAAGTACAGAGCTAGCTGCTAGAAAAGTGATTTAATTACTAGAAGATATAGTAGTGGGTGGCTACTCGCTAACCTATCTTATCTTTAATAATCTTATATTATACAGGCGTTACTTCCAAAAAGATTAACAATTGCTAGTCATCTGCATAAAAGAAGGAAAACTCATATTTACAGTGTTTTAAACTTATTTTTATACCTATTGTTATAAATAGTATTGAAAGACTCAATACTTTGATATAAATTTACACATCAAATAAGTCTTAGATCTATGTTACCACATATTAGTATTGAGAAATGGTATGCGTATACATAACACAACCACAAGTTAATATTTGGCAGAATCCGTGTCGATAGACATATTTAGAATGGCCATCAACTTTTTTATCTCCTTTAATAGATATAGTCTGGTTGATTCAATTATTCTTAACTGGATTATTGAATGAAAGTCATCAACGATTAATAGATCAAACTTTAGAATAGATTAGATCTAATAATATGACCAGCGTTTTTTGTTTAAATTGAATTACTTTAAATTTAAGATTATCATTATGGTATGAAGATAGAATCTACACTGACACTAGTCTTATTTCTTATGGACTTATGTATGGAGTATGTCTAGATCTAGAGTTAGACGTAATAGTAATAGATCTAGTCAAATCTAGTGAGTATAAATACTATAATAGTCTTATCTACCAAAAATCTACTTCTAGTCAATCTAGATCTACATTATAAGTTAACTTAAAGTTTAATAAGTTACAATAAGTCTAAGACTAAGTCTTATATTAAGTCTTAAGAACATAGACTAGACTCTATACATCAGTGTTAGTGTATCAGTCTATGAGACTAATGAGAGTCTATAAATTTATAAATAGAATAAAAAAAAATTATTAAGAATCTAGATCTAGTACAATACATTTATAGCTTTTATATAGCGCTACTTTCATGCTTAAAGCATGCTCAGAGCGCTTTGGTCCAATCTCATTTGTGGACCAGTGGGGGAGAGGGGGTATCTAGGAGTTGGTTTTCCGTGCTCCCTTTAGGCGCTCAGTAAACACAACTCTGCCCGAGTCGGGTGTCGAACCTCGAGCCCCCTTCTAGGTAGCCAAGCCAAGCTAAGTTCAAGCGCACTTAGCCTCTCGACAATAGTTAATAGTACATACAGTATAGTAATAGAATCTAGTTAATCTAGTAGTACTAATACAATACGGTAGTATACTATCTAAGATTTACTATAGACTATACTTAGATCTTCAGTAGACCTAGAGTCTATTCTAAATCTATTCGACACTAATGACTAGATCTATATACCGTATAATGGTGTATACGATTGACTATTTTAAGTAATTTAGTATTGTCATTGTCAGTATGACTAACTTAACTAACTACTAGATAAGATTTATTTAGACTCTAGATTCATAGATATATTAGAATAAAAAGATAAATTTTACTTTGGTACAGTGACCATACACTATTCTATTACGGTACACTAATTTTATGTTAGATCTAAATTTAGATTTAGAATTATATCTAATTATTCTAATAATAATAATATAATTAATTATTATATAATGATTGACAACTAGACAAGACTAAGACTATTTCTAGAGGACTCTATATAGATCTACTATAGTCTATAATCTCTATATATACTATACTCTATACTATATTTATAGTATATAGAGTAATATCATTAGTATCTATTATAATTTATATAGTTTACAAATTTGATTATTATAAACTAGTGTTACAGATATATAAATTTAATGATACAATATTTAAATGTGTTTATTTTTTTGTTTAGATCCCATTTTATGCATCCAGATCCAGACTAATCTAGTATCATGAATATCAGCCTGGATACAAGTAAAGAGGAAGATGTGAATGTCTTATCCCCTCTTCCTCCCACAACTCCTACCAATCTTTGTGATGGAATCTTTCCCAACACATCATGTACCATGGCAGCACCCAAGTCTCAAGGATTAGCGAGGTCCAGAAGAATGCCATCAGTAGATCCAAGGTAAGTTAGACACAATTTTTCTTATTTTTTGCTGTTCTAAGAAAACAATGTAATGAATGGTGTAGTGCAAAGAAAGAATTTAATTTAATAATGTTTTTATAGTGAGTCTTGTCATTTGTAGCTAAACATAAGCTTTATCCAGAAACCTCATTTGCAAGGAAATATCTTGAAATTCTTTTTTTTTTTTTTTTCGTACAGTTCTCTTGTGCCAGCAAGGAGGAGCTCCACACGTTCCATCAAAAGAAAAAAGTTTGATGACGAGCTAGTGGAGAGCAGTTTGGTAAAAACAGAACGAGGGGGTCGCGTGAAGGGTTCATCTGGCACTACTACAGCTTCCTTGCCAGCCACACCTGCTGGTCACTTTGTTCAGTCTCACACGCCCGTCAGCCTCACCTCAACCACTTCCATCACTGAACCCCAGCCTGCTGCAAATACTGGTCCAATCACAAGCACCATTCAGCCATTTTCACCTGGAACACCTATAACAACAACACCATTGATGTTAACACCCCAGATTCAGAGTCTAGTAAAGCCCCTAGGTATATCTTAACATTTTTCTGCTTAAAATGGATAGAACTAAAATAATAATGATCAGTTAGTATTAATTTTATTGTCTCAGAGACTTCCTCTGCTCTTCACTCTCTTCTAATGCTGTGATTAGATGACACTCATTTCTTTTTCTTAGCAGAAGAAGAAAGAGAAGTCCGTCATGTTGATGTTGCCACGCTTTCGAAGCCACCAGAAAAACGCAGCAAGCCCAGCACTGGTAAAACACTAATCGCCTCTAAAGGAAAAGTGTCCTCTTCTAAAGTGATTGCTGGGAAATCATCTGGGAAAACAAAAGCATCCATCTCAAAGAGTGGACACACCAAGTCATCCAAGGTAATTTTTTAATGTCATTTTCTATACAGGTTCACAACATACTGAAGGTAAGCTTTATAATTAAACACTCTCCAAAAGTGAACAAAGTTAAAAATAATTTTTGTATGGTCTCTTAAACTGGGCACCCCAAATGCAAAGTTAACTTTCTTGAAGTAGAAAATTCCCAAAGTAAACTGATCTCCTCAAATCTCAACATATACACATTCATCAATATATATATATATATTACCCAATACTATAAATAGTTAGAATTTGTTACATGTTGTCTAACACCCAGACCTCCCTCATGACTGAAATTGATTGTTAACTATAAGTGACTTTGAAACACAAGTCTAAAATGCATGTCAGAATGTGTGCATCAATATAATAAGATTTTAAGACGCAGGAAATAGAGTAGACTTTA